ATATTTTTTATATAGTAATAATATTACTAAAATTAATATTTAATATTTTATAAAGAAATTAACAATTTTTTTAATTTCGCAGGCAAATTTGCCTGTTAGACAATCTAAGAGATATAAATCAAAACTTTATGTAGTATTATCAAAGATAAGAACTTTTAAGTTATGTTGCAATTAATTTTATATATATATATTATAACTTATAAAGTTGCAACATATGTTGCAACTAATTTTAATATATGTTTCAACATGTTATAAAGTAGAAATTAATTGCTGCATCATCTTTAGGTATTTTATTAACAAAGATTATTTTTATTATAACAACTTATTTCTAATTATTGTCATAAGAAATTATAATAAACAACAAATTATATAATTAAAATTATTTTTAATTATTAACATAAAATTATAAATGTTTGAAGCAATATCAGATCTAACTTTAAGAAATGAATTTCTTGAAGTAGAGTTTATGGAGTTTAGACTATTTGATTGATAATATAAAGTTAGAATGTGTTTTGAGATGTTAAAAAGTCCTTCAATTTGCTGTTTATGAATAATGATAAAAAATAATGTAGAATTGGATTTTGATAAATAATACAATTCAGAAAGATTATATATTAATAAATTGAAATCAATGTAACTTATATTGGGTTTTTATTCATTGATATTTATGAATAACACTTTATTTATATTTATAAGTACCTCTTTATAAATATTGATGGAAGTCTCTTTATTAAATATTTAATACAAGCATTTTTTTAAGTAAAATTGATATTTATATGATTTATAAACTTCATATTATATTAGATGTATAGCCTTAACAACTAATAATTCTAAACAAAAAGTTTTAAGAAGATTGATATTAAATTTCAAAAGACTAAACAAATTTAATATTTTAATAAAAAAAATTATCAATCAATGTAAAAATTCATTTATGCTAACTTATAGTATAGATCTGAAATTAAGCAACCTTTTTGACTATAAGATTGTTTAATTGTAAAAATTTATTTATGCTAACTTATAGTATAGATCTGAAATTAAGCAACCTTTTTGACTATAAGGTTGTTTAATTTTGTAATTTTTTTTGGAGTAAAAAATCTAAAAAAAAAAATTATAAATAATTACATTTTGTGTCATCTGTATAATGTAACACAATATTGTGATATCACGATTAGTTAAATACTTTAAAATTACATGATTCTTTTTTAAAACTCATTTCAAAACTAGTTTAAAACCTTTTTATATGATATGCCATCATAAAAAAGAAAGCAAAAAAAAGCTGTTAGTAAATAATAAAGTTATTAGCAAAGAAACAGTTAAATAATGTCATAGCTCATATTTAGTTGATCCGAAAAAACAGATTGTTTTTTATGCAAGCGAAAATGGAATAATTAATGTAGCAAACTATTTTGAACTTGATAAAGGTATGATCAGTCATTAGGTTAAATTAAAGGAAAAATAGCTAAGAAAACCAAGATAAAATAATAAATAAGTTGGTATTAGTCGAAAAAGTTTCTATCCAGAAGTTAAAAAAACTATATGATTAGATTATTGAACAAAGAAAGTAAGGTTTAGCTATTAATTATACAATTATACGAATTAAAATGCTAGATATTTTAAAGAAATCTAATATGATAAGTCTTTATAAAGATTCAACAAATGAATTTAAATATCAAACCATTGGATATTTGGATTTATAATAAGGTATAATTTATTTTAGCAGTAGCATACTAAAATTTCACAAAAGCTCCCATCATAAACTAATGAGTTATTAGAAAATTTTCATCAATTTATCATTTGTCTTAGAACTAAAAAATTATTTCAATTGTCTAATGTTCTCAATATGAATAAAACACCTGTCTGGTTTGATATGACAGAAAATTTTACTATTGATAATACTGGTAAAAAAATGATTTATATTCGCAGAACTGGCAATGAAAAAACTAATTTATGATTGTTTTGATAATTACCGCAAGTAAGAATTCTTACAATTTTTTTTTAGTTTTTACTTACCCAATTTTTTTATTTTTTTTTATGTAATAGATGGTACAAAATTTCTACCAATCTGTATCTTTAAGGGAAAATGGCTATCATATCCTATTTGGTATCATTGTTTAGTTTTAGTAAAATGGATGGATGAATGCTAAATTAATGGAGAAATATACTGATTATATTAAAAATAATTTAAGAATCAATGATATTTCAACAATAATGGTATTTGATTCTTTCAGAAGGCATCTTAAAGAATCTGTCAAAACAAATTTCGTGATAATAGTATTGACTTAGCAGTCATTCTAGGTGGTTTAATTAGTATATATCAACCACTTGATATAATAATTAATAAGCTATTTAAAGATAATCTTCGTAAGGATGGCATATTTGGATAGCAGGGACAGTACTAGAGTAACTGCAGATGAAAATCTTCATCATATTAAATTATCAGATGTTTGTGTATTGGTTAAAAATGCTTGAAAGGGAATTTCAAATGAAATGATTATAAAAATTGCCAAATTTCAACTTTTTTAGATGGATCAGATAATGACATTTTTAGTGATGCTGATAATGTCCTTGATGATAATAGTAATATCAATGGTAATAATAATTAATAATTAATAGTAACAATAATAATTAATAGTAGTTTTTTACTGTATTTTATAATAATAATAATAATAATAATAATAATAATTAATAAAAATATTTTTTATTGTATTTATTAATTATTTATTACGGAAAGTTATGGGTTGCTTATTTTCATGCTTATAATAAATAGGAGGTTGCTTATTTTCGGAGGTTGTTTAATTTTGGAACTGTATGATAAATAGATTGGAAAAAATTTTCTACAATAGCGATGAAAAAAATAATTCTATAGCTTTATAGTTATAATAAATAAGAATTGATTTTTTTAAAAAACTTTTGAGAGAATAAAAATCAACCTGTGCATCTTAAAAATGTTTGGTATAGTTTTTATATATAAAAAAATATATTGTGGATTAACTATTGATTAATTAAAACATAAGGTAACCACATATAATTTTGATTTATATTTATAGAGTATATTAAACACCTATTGCATCATGATTAGACTATCACTAATAGAGTACTTAATCTCAATAAAGATGACACTCATTTTACCTGAACTACTAAATAAGACATTTAATTTCATAGCCAAAGATAACGCATTATATCCCACTTTACTTGTCTCTAGACTTTGGTCTATATGTGCCAGTTATAGTTGCTACCCATACCTTATACTTTAGAATCTTATTCCATTCCAAATCCCATTTAATTTAAATATTATTTTTAAGTATACTATATCTTGGTCAATATCTTACTTATAAAAATAAAATTTTAGTTATTTAACTCATCTTATCAAGATAAAGCTAAATAGTTAAATATCTTTAAATTCCATTTATTCAATACAGTGATATTATTTATTAAAGTTTTAATTTAAGCAATGGGATTTGGAATGGATATGGGTAACAAGTCCAATTTTATGGTATTGTATTGAATTATCACGTTGGAAACAACAGAAGAAGTTAATAAAAATGTACAGCTGCAAGATTTCACACACAATTAAGCATCATTCTAATCTTTCGAACAAGATAATTGAAAAATTAATCAAAGTATTTCCAAACGTAATAGAGAATTAACCAACTATTCTATCATTGAAATCATAAAGAAATGTAAAAAATTGCAGTTTAAGATATTGGTTATGTGGAGAAACCATTCTGCAAAATTGCACGAGCATGCAATGGGTTCAAACATCTAGGAATTAGTATTTCTTCTTGTAGTTGTCTCACTGATACTACTACTTATACCCTTAGAACTTTAAAATTCAATTACTGCGATGAAATAAGTTATATGGCATCAGAAAATTTGCGCAGTTACATTTTTTGGAAACATCTTGATGTTCAGAGTTTGAAAAGCTTAAATGTTGAACATTATTGCACGATCATGCATACATCTTAATCTTTCAGCTTATAGAGCGTAGAAGAATTAGCTCAATTATTAAATGTGGCCTTATTGATACAGAAAATAAATTGGCTGAACTATAATAAATTTACAATATTGGACCAAACTAGCCTAGACTAACTAAATTTTCTATGATTCATTGATTTTCTGGTTAGAATAAAAATGATCGTTAGTTATACTTGTATGTAACCTTAGTAAAACGGTTGAAAGTTTTGCTCTTGTGCTAATAAATTTCTCGAGAATTTTGAACGAAAAAAATGTTTGCTGACCAAAGACTAATATCCAATAGTAGCAACAAGTAACCTTTACCAGAATTATGATGATTTTGATCGGCATTATGAAGACTCTGGTCGGACTTACTTGTAAAAATGTTGCTTAATTTCTGAAATATACTGTAGAGGTCGCGTGGATGACGAACTAATTAACCAATCAGAGTAGCGAGTATACGATACATAAATTAGGTCTTCATTATTCATTACAATAAAATAAACTCTTTTGAAAAGCTTATTTTATAAATGCTTTGCTTTTTTTTAACGAAAAACACATGTCAACTAAACTTACTCCGAAGCACAGGAGAGCTCTAGAAATATTACTAGAGCTAGGGATAAAAGAACTTCTGCAGGAGAGATCCAGAAGAGCATTTAATAGAACTTTATTAAAAAAGTGAATAGAAGACGGAGAACCATTTGAAGAGGTAGGCAAAATTTTAGGTACTTATAATCATTTTACTAATATGTTAGAACTTTACAAACTTATATCTATCGAACCTCTCTAGAATTCCCTGACAATAAGAATGACGTCTCATCTATTAAAAAAGGATCAGCTGGTAAGTTGATCGATGTTTTCAATTAATAAAGCCGAATTCGCATAATTTAAAGGAACTGACAGATATAACTATGATAATGAAAGAGGAAAAAATGATGGAAGTGTGTCTAAGCTTCATTCCAGTAAGGATCCAAGAACTGAGGAACTTTGCTCATCATTTGCTTTCACCAGAAATACCACCATTAGAATCACATCTAAAACCGTGAACATAGTGGTAAAAGTTCTGGACGAAGAAGCATTCCCATAACTCGTAAACAACATGCTTATTCGACTAAATTAGCTGAACTTTCTAAACAAATATATCGGGGAAATGGTGGAAGTGAAGATCAGAAATTATGAAGAAGGTCAAGAAAGACTAAACCCTTCAGCACGGTTCGGCGATTTAGTTCACAAATATTATGGCATCTTCGAGTTCAAGCTATCGCATATTTCGAGAATCGTAATGCTTATGTACATTTTCTAAATATTTTTTTTACCAACTCTTATAATGATGCTGCTTAAAATGAAAGTATATAATATAGGAAAAACATCACTGCTATGAGTTTTAATCCCGCTGTATTTGCTATTAAATTTGAGATAAAATTTAACTCTTAGAATTATGATGTCTTTAAAGTTCTTTTTTATATTCTTAGCTATGATATAATGAATGCTTGGCATTGTTGTGAGATTCTCTTCTCACGACCCCTTTCTACAAACATCAGATTTCCACTCCAATTATTAACTCACTCTCATATGGATTATATTCCACAAAATTTTTTCAAGATTGAATTAAACTTAAAGCATAATTCTGGAGTTCGTCTCACTCAATTCAAAAAGATGTATACGTTACTTATTGCGTTACGACATGCATGTGATAAGAATCAGGTGATAATTTCACTGCGTCTATGATATTTATAAATCTGGCAAATCTGAAAAAATAATTAACATCATCATAATAATATAGGAAAAGATTAGAATAGAATAGCTCTTTTGTATTAAGGTTTATTACAGAGCAATAGCTGACTCTGTTTGTATTTTTGTTAATAAAAATTCTTCTTATTCCTTAAATTCATTATTATAAATTGTTAAATAGATCTACATTTCGTTCTTATTGTAATAATCGCTTACTTAAAAACGATTATTAATCATTCCCCACGAAATTAGGTGAAGCATTTTTCCATTAAAAAAAATACTTTATTAATTAAAATTAAATGACGAATTAATTTAAAGGACATTTCATTTTTATATACATCACAATAACTGAATTTACGAAAAATACTTTCATTGCTTTGAAAAGTAAAAGAATTAGGCGAAGAAATATTGCTTTTCCTAATGATGAGCCGCAAATACTATTTTCAGAAAATAAATAAAAATTTAGAAAACTAAATCATTCGTATCTCGGAAATGTGTCATTTATTTGACCTGAAATTATGTCAATTAAAAATTACAATGAAATAATTTTGATACAAACTGAAATATCCAAAGATCTCAATTTTCAATATATTATCCCTTAGACTGTAGAGCAGGCAAATTTGCCTGCGAAGTTAAAAAAAAAGTGTTAATTTCTTAATAAAAT